CCGCTTGCACTTGGGTGTACACATTTTGGATCAAGTCATTAAGCATCGCCTGAAGCAAAGAAGAAATGCTCTTTCCAAGTCACGTGAGAAGACAGAGCACCAATAAACAGTAAATGGGTATGGATGCATCTAGAGATATAGCAGCCATTTGATGGAGAACATTTGATGGTGAAAAAATGAAGGAGCTTGGCCATGGAGGGAGCACCCCCTAGGTCGTTCTCCTTCCAGAAGACTAGGAGACCAACCAACATCCCCCAAAAGTTAAGAGATAACCTTGCAGGATAGATTTTGTCAAAACAAAGTACACTTTTCAAAAAAGGATGAATAAGAAACCTCAAATGTGACTCAAATGCAGAGACAAAGAAGCAAGTCCTCTCAGAAAGGTAGACGTTGTAATGATCTACCTTGGAAAGAAGATAAACTTCAACATCTAAAGGAAAGCAATAATGGTCAATTAGGGATTGAAGTCAACGTCTGGAAACACAACTAATGGTAAAAGAAGAGGAAGGAACCTGCATTTCTTCAGGTCTTCCTGAAGTACCGGCCTCAATAGAATGGGGAACACGATGTATATTTGGAACCCTCTTCTTAAGAGTACACTTTCTTTTTCCTCGAGTGAGGGGCTCATCTTCCTCTGTGCCCTTTAGAATAGGAGAAAACACCTCCTTACGAGGCAAACTCTCCCCTTGAGGAAGTTGAGACAAGGATTCCTCAGTCTCCTCCAAATCCACCAGGTCCCTCTAATGAGATGACTCTACCCCTGCATCTTCGCCTCCGCAAGGTTGAGGATTCAACCTCAGGATTGCCACTCGCATGCCTAAGCAAGCAAGCAATAGAGGACCCAGTGGCCTTAGAAGAAATTGCGGACATGGGTGAAAAGGAGAACTTGAAATATCCTAGTTCTGGGGGAATTCAAGATATGTGGAAAGTGCAATCCTTAATCGAATGATAATCTACGCACCAACGACCTAGCAAGAAAATCTTAGTCGTACTCCAAGGATCTAGAAAGATGAGTGTCGCCACCAATGATCTCTCTAAACTCCTAAACTAGCAAAAACAAAGGACTAAGAAATGGAGTCGACCACCACAAGGGACCAAAATGGTCCAGAATTGGTATAAAATCAAAGAGGAAAAAAAGAGAATAGCATACCTAGTAAGCAAAGACAGAGAATCAAGACACGAACAAGGGAAAATTCACCAAAAGAATCTTCTAGGCCAGCTCGAATCATCGATTTAATCCTCCTCATAGCCTATGGAAACACTTAAGGAACTTCAGGACCCACACAGATTTAGGAACACGAAAGGGGGAATTTAGAAGAAAAAGGCCTGATGAAGCGAATGAATTAATAAAGCAAAAAATTCGATTTGGGAAAAGTTTAAGTAGATAAAGTTTTAGTGGTTCTGTCTCCAAGCGCATTTAATGCATTTTCACGCCACTCCACGTGGCTTAACTTTATTGGTATGACCCGAAAAACAAGCATTGTCAGCCCCTCACACTCACGTTATTTCTCAATCCTCATGCAATTTTCTTGTCACGTCCTATCAGCAAATTCAGGTATCCATAGCTGCTTTTAGAAGAGAATAACACCACAGTTATACTAGAAGCATAGTCTCGAGCTACTACTGAGACAGGTTGCTCAAGTCTGAGACAAAGGGGTAGCTAATGATACCTAGAAAATGGCACCGTTAAGCAAGGGAAATTAGATCAAAGAGATTAAAAGTATATTAATGTCGCATAGTGAAGACTATCCAAGGAAGGAAGCCCAAGTTGGTCTAGGGTGACTTCAAGAAGGATTGTTCAAGTCTACCCAACAAAATCCCAAAGAAACTTAGCGTTACGAGAACGGGATTACTGACCAAGCTGATCTCCTTATGTATGAGCTCACCCTAAGAAGCTCATCTTGAAGTATGTTCAGCAAATAGCAGAACCCACCAGAGGCATATAAGGTCATCGCATGTCCGAGCTGGAAGACAAGTGATCATGCCACCACCGCATGTTCTAGAAAGGCACATCACACCTAGGGAATGTAGCCTCTAATGGCCTAGAGAATATAAACTCAAATGGCCCTAAATATTCCCTCAACAAACTCCTAAGAAAACTAGATGACCACTTCATGGTGACATGATCATCGAGTATACAAACTAAAAACCCTTACTCGAGCAAGGAGAGAATATTTTGTAATTGTTTCTTCTTCTTCACGAAATATGCAAGGCCTCCAAGAGCAAAAGTCTACATTATAGTGGATTAGTCATGTCAAAAAGCTGGTGAACTACTATAACTCCAGTGCAATCCCATACTCCCAGTTCAATTCCTCTTCTCATCTTCCAAGCTACTTTATGAAGGCCCCCAGACTTCATCACCATTAATCAATCATTAACCCTCATACACCCACAGATACGTAATTACCAAGCCCTGAGCTCCTCAGCTCGAGCACCCGACTCATATCCCGATTATTGATATCATCAGTGGGGTATAGCAATAGTGTTATATCGTACCCATATCTCGTATGCCATATTCGTATACGAGTACGATACGACACGGATACGGCGATACGACAAAGTCTAAAAAAGTAAGATACGGGTACGGCCAAGATATGGCTATAATAAAATATATTAAATATTTTTATTATGTTTAACCAGCTTAATACTTATATATTTTGGTAGTTCTGTAATATACAATAGGAAAAATTAATAATTTTTTTTAGTTTTAAAAAAATATATATCGTATCGCTGTAATATATTCACAAAGTGAAGTGACTAATCAAAGGAATCAAAGCTAATATTTACCCAGTATTTAGAAGTAATTTTTGTTAAGATAATAATATAATAGCTTTATTTTATGCTCTTTTGACATGTAATTGTAAATAATACTTAAGAAACACTCATGTGTCTTTGAAGTAATATAAATGTTTTGTTAATTTACTGTATGGTATGTGAATTCGAAAAGAGATATTAAAAGTTCAATTCAAAAATTATATATGTTGTTCGACCACAAAAGTATCCGTGAAATATCATAATATTTAATTATTATCGAATACGTAGAAAGTGTATCCGATACGTATCTTCAAGTATCCGACAAATATCGTATCCGATACAGTATCGATTATGGGTACGTCAACCTCAACGAAGTATTCGTGCTTCATACATTGGCAACAAACGAAGAAATGGAATTCATAACGTCGGCGACTATTAGACTCAAGTTCAAAGGAAAAGACAACAAATAATGAGAGAGAGAGAGAGAGAGAGAGAGAGAGAGTGGTGGGGCGATGTGGTCATAAGTGGGTGTGGGGGTGGCGATGGTAGTTGGTGTGGGGGATAAAATACTAATTACTAAAGTTTTGTTTTTTAACATTACACCAAATTTATTTTTTTGATTAATTAAAAAAATAAATAACTATAATTGTTGATTAATTACTCAAATTATCATTAATTTGGTATAATGTTGTGGCTAGAATAATGTAATTCGAGAATATTAGTTGCTACTTGCTACATCATCAAGTTAGTAAATTAGATTTTTTTATTTTTAAATAGCATTACTTATACTTTATTCAAACGGAAGACAAAAGAAATGTGAACTTAATGTATTTGGAAATGAGAATTGCATGCAAGGTCGCCAATAAACCGAGTTGGGTCATGCATAGCTCGGGATCGGCTCATGTTGGAGCCCATTCAAGTTTGTTCATATATTAAAATTTAACCTAGTTTTAGCCAAAGTTTAAAGTTAATTGAATAAATGAGCCGAATATGAATACTACATTGTTCAACTCAAAAGACTCGTGAACAAACAGCTTGTTTATATATGCGGAGACCAAACAGTCTTAGGAAACGATAAGGTACTGGTAACAAAATGCAGTAGAGCGGTGAGCAGTGCCCCAGTGGTTAGGGCTCACTCCCGCCAGCATGTGGTTTTGGGTTCCAACCTCTTTCTATTCTCCATTCCCAAGAAATGAAACAAAAACAAAATGACAATATGCAACAAAAAAGGAAAATAGATGCAAATAACCCACATCTGCCACCACATTTGGATACAATTCTAGCCATTGCATTAAGCATTTCAGTCGTCATATAGATTTCTCTATAGGTGTTTCACATTTATATAATTTAAGAAAACTTCCAAAATGTGTAATTAGTGTACTTCTAAGCTCCGAAATATTAATTGTGGGAAAGAAGGAATCAAGAACAACCATTACTAGAAAGAGCAAAAAACCATGTCTTTATTGTACACCAAATATATATATATATATATATATATATATATATATATATATATATTTTAATGTCTTTTAAACTTGTTTAAAAGGATTGCATATTACCCTTTATAATGCTTGTTTTTAGCAATCACAAAAATTTGTTTAACAGATTAAGATGGTTTAATATTTTTCAGTGGTTCTCCGCATGTAAATGCCATAGAACAAGCAATTGTGTAGCTCACAAATTCAAATTTTATTTTAGATACCCACCATTGTTTTACTAATGTTAAATAATTGGCTTGCCTCAACAGGTGTCAATCATGTTGTGTCAATTTCGGTCATGTTATTTTCTAATTTTGTCATTTTAGTTTGTGTCTTGATCGTGTCAATATTCATATGGTACCATGTAAAGAAATTTAAAAAATTATTAAATATTATTTTATGCTTACCATATCAATTAATTGTATTGTTTGTCTCTAATTTTAATTTAATCCATTTATTAGTCACGTTAGTTATGCCATCTATAGGTTTCTTATTGTATTTGTATGAATGAGTAAAATTAGCATCCCTATTTGCCTTTCCGCCAGGCTCGCTTTTTTCAAGTGGGGATTTCCTTCTCACATCGAAAAGCCAATAAAAAGTAGAAGCAAGAAGCTCCCAAGTCTTCTGCCTCTCTTTTCATCCATCCCACAGCGGAATAGCTACAGAAAGTGAAAGCAATACGCTTCCATATAGTGAGCTGTGTGTGCGCGTGTTTGGTACCCCCGACTGTTGGTAATTATTTTCTATGTAAAGAAAATGGCTTGCTTTGGAAAACTGGGACCTATTGTTGTGGGTCCCGCATCAATTGTTCACATCATGCACAGCAGAGGACGAAGGCCCCCACAGCAGTTGTTCACATTATGCACAGTAGAGGACGAGAGTGAGCATCCGCTTGTTTATAATGTAGGATAGGATATAAAAATTATAAGAACCAAAAAATCCATTAAAAAAAGAAAAAGAATGAAAAACAGTCCAGTATATAACAACACAGCAGAATTGCCACTTTAAGGCTGGCAGCAGAAGGTCAGTAGTCTTCCCACTTCACCTTTCTCATACCATTAAGTCGGCAGGTATATAATTTACGGAATTTTTCTTTTTTCTGTCATTAGAGAGGGACTGCATTCAAAGAATAATCACCATACGTCACGCAGATATCTCCCAGTCATTTGCAGATTCTTCACCATGCTCTCCGCCTTGGAGCTGTCCAGAGATCCCTGAAATCAACATTTGCAAACTTCATTAGCTGCCTCGTACAACTTTTTATTCAGTACCATGATTCCTAGAAATTGTTTCTACCCAAAAAATTAAAAAAAATAGTAGTGGGCATGCACAGAACAAAGCCACACACTGCTAGGACTTTCTTCAGGGTGCAAAACTCTCTCTGTCTCTCTGTATTGGTGTGTCTGGTTACTTCCCAACAATTAAAAAATATGGTGGCATACCTGCTCTTGCACAATGGTGTGAAGTGTTCGGTGGACGTCCCTAGCCATGCCTTTGGCATCACCACAGACATATATATAACCTCCCTCGGAAATCATTTTCCAGATATCGGAGGCCTGTTAAGACAGAAGGAACACCCATATTTAACATTTGAAAATAAGTAAATAACAATAGGTGAAGAAGCTCTTTAAAATCTCATTCGACACAACTGGCACTAGGAAATAACGGATTCCATACCTTCTCTGCCATCTTATGTTGCACGTATTCCTTACTGGGTCCCTCACGGGAGAAAGCAACAACGAGCTCAGAAATTGCACCATTTTCAACAAAGTTGTTTAGCTCATCCTCATAGATGTAGTCCTGCAAAAATTGAGCTCGTTAGATCATACTTGTTACAATAGAACTTAGACTAAATCAGAGCATCCATGAAAATGGTCGGTGACTAACTAACCGTTCTGCGATTCCTGCATCCAAAAAATAATACAGCAGGTCCCAGTTCTGCTCCAGCTTCCTTCAGAGCATATCTTTCCTGGAAATAGGAGACATTTCAGTTTCTACTTGATCATGCAACACCAAGCATATCTGGATGAAATAAGCAACTTCAGGGATGTTGGTTCAAACCTGAAGGAAACCTCTAAAAGGAGCCAATCCAGTGCCAGGACCAATCATAATAATAGGCACTTTAGTATCGGCAGGGAGTTTGAAGTTTGACTGCCTAACAAAAATGGGTGCCCAGCTGCAGTCACGGCTTTCCTCCAAAGCCACAGCATTCTGAAAAGGGACCAAAGAAGGTGGGAGATAAGAGAAAATGTAACAACAAAGCTCAACTGGGCTATATATATTCTAGTCGGACTAAGTGTTGATGTAAAAGTAGAAAAGGAATCTCCATTCATCTAAAGTAGGCAGTCTAGATAAATTCAGAAAACCTAAATGACCAATGTAGTGATGGGCATTCCAGAAATTCTAATCGTTTATCACCCTCAAAAAATTGTGTATTTTCTATTTGTGAACTCGCAACCAAGCATTTAAAGAGAACATAAAACGCTACCTTCATCCAAGTGGAGCACACCCCCTTGTGAATTCGTCCTGTAGGTGTTTTCTCATACACTAATGCACAAGTGACGTGAATTCTCGATGGCGCCATCCTGTGGAATAGAATCAAAGATGATACGTAAATCAACATATATGGTTGCATAAGTTTATTTCTAAAGATCACAGGTAAGTAGCATGCAGCATGAAACAAAATCAAGCACAATGGACGCATGATGCCCAAGATATTCATTTGTCTTCTTGTACAGGGCAAAAATTTCCTAAGGGATTCCATCGAGTAGATCATTTATACACATTTAGACAGTCTCAAGATAAACAGATCATCGAGAAGACCTCGTGACAGAGTTAGCTGTACTTGGGTCAATGTGCAATGCACAAGAAGAAGCATCACCCCAAACTCTTTTAAGAAAAAGGGAAAGGGATGGGTTGAAATCTATTCACCTTGGGGAGGAAGAGATAGAATAGTATCTGGGCTGCAGGCGTGGGGCAACTGCTGCAAACAAAACACCAAGTGGGGGCTTGGCCGATGGGAATTCTGCCATGATCTCGAGGAGGCTTCTTTGACTTGCAACAACCCACTGTGCATATTCATCCTGAAGAATAGAAGAGAGGTTTCAGTGAGAAGCAAATTACAGGGAACTGTTCAGTTCAAAAGTTAAGAAAGAATCCACACCTTTCCAGCAGGAGATGTAAGGTGTCTTAATCGATCAGCTTCATTTGGATCAGAAGCATGAGCAGCTAAAGCAAGTAACGCAGCCTGGAAAACATATGCATGTAAGGAGTTAAATTCAGGAGGAAATTTTCGAGGAACAACGGAAGAATGTAGGAAAAAGTCCAACCTTTTTGGGAGAGCTCAAAAGATCAGCATACCGAGTCAAAGCAATCCTTAAAGTGCAAGGTGGGAAGGGAGGTGGCAAGGAGCTTCCACTGAGTGGGGTGCCATCCTCTTTATCAGTGTGAATAGAGAAATAAGTATTTGGTGGTAAACCTATTAACCTCTCAGCCTCCTCCACTATTTCAAGGAGATTGTCACAGTACACACCAACGTGATCCCCAGTCTCGTATCTGAACAAAAAGAAAGCAAATAAAGATATATGAACATGATTGACAAGTAAGAAATCACAATAATTTTCTTTTGTCCCCTTATCTTTGACACACAACCAACAATTTCCCACCGGAAACCAAAGTGGGTGGGACAAAAACAAAAATTTGTCTTTATCCAATAACCACAGCTACATATCGAAAACTAAGTTATGCAGAAGAGCAACTTACGCAAGTCCAGTGCCAGCAATGTCAAATTCTAGATGGGTGCAAGAACGATCGGATGTAGGTGTATGAAGCTCCTTTTTCACAGCCACATCGGCTCTTCAAGCAAAGAATAGAGCATATGTTAGGTATATTATGGCGCATGGGGAAAAAGCATATCACTAATTTAAAACTTCTTGGTACCGGCAAGGATGTTGAGCATCATAAACAGCATGACCATTTGTTTTACCAAAGCCATTCTCCAGTAGTGATGCATCTGGTTGGTCATGGAATACAACTCGGTATTCTGGAACAGCAGCGGTGTAAGGAGTAGCACCAGTTGTATCATCCCCATCCCTTAGCAACTGATCCAGCTCGGGCCACACTAGCTCTCGCCTAAATTAGTGACAGATAGAAAACATCATTTTGTCTGTTTCTGCAAATTTAACTCTACAAGTAATAAAGAAATTGGAAGTTAAGGCTTCCAGATATAGTCCGTGTTCCTTATACCATGCAGTAAAGTCATCTTCAATGCATTGATCATCATCCCCAAGACCCAATGGAACAAACCGCTTCCCACCTACAATTGGCACAGATCATGTTAGAAAGGACAACAAAGTTGAAGGTAACAAGAGCACAATATCAAAGAACCCACCATAATATAACCTAGAGGAATATAATTACACTATTGATGTTTCAATGTGTAAATTTTCCTTCAGCCATTACAAAATTACGAAAGCCTATGTCAACTAACTGGCTAATATCTTCCACTTTATATTGGTAAGTTTAAGATAGCGACGTGACGACGTCTAACTTGGTCTCATGCACCACACAAAGGTACTTTGAATAGCAACTCACAAGAAAATAGTAATTTATCTTTGTACAGAAGACACGTTCTCTTAATGATGGATACGTATGAATGTGTTTTACAATGATATAGTGAAAGAATTAAACACATGAAACTGCCTATGCTAGCCAATGATATTATAAACTAGGACTTATAGGCTACCCCGGACTTCAAAATGCAAACATTTAACAATTCACAAACACAGTTTGTGTAGAGCACGTATAAAATTTGACAAAATCTTCATTTCAAACATTACCAACATGAGCAAAAAAAGGTCACTGGAGTTACTTTGGGACATTTGTGTCTAACATCCCATTTGTAATGTAAAACGAGGTAGGAAAACATACCCTGCTCAACAACAAGCTCATCCACCACCTTTGCAATCTGTTTCCCAGTAAACCAAACATAAAATCATATTTCAGTCAACAACCAAAACAAAACAACATTTGCACGTAAAGTGAACATACATATTTACATCCATTCATACAAGCATTCACATAAACAATAAAGTAGATTACAGCTGCAATAAAATTCATTTCAAACCTTGTTGAAATGCTCATATTGCCTGTTGCCAAGACCAAATACACCATACTGAAGATTCTCCAGCCAATCCCCCCTCTCTTTTCCCTGTACCAAGCAATATATTCGAAATTTTACCCCTGGATCTTACGGAAATTTTAAAAAGCAAAATTATAATTCACTTCAATTAATCAAATTTACCTCTGCAAACCATTTGTAGAATCTAGCTGCATTGTCAGTCGGCTCACCGTCTCCATATCTACACCACCAACAATCAAATAAACTCAATGAAAAGATACTAACAAACATTTGCTCATCATGCACACACAAAAAATTATGTCTTTATGCAATTCAAAATAAAGTGGCAAAATCAGGACTCACGTAGCTAAAAAGAAAAGCACCAAAGTCTCTTTCTTCAATTTCTCCTCATACTCTTCATCATCTGCCCCATAATCATCCTACCCACCATTCAGTATATCCAATAGTCACAATCTCAATTCAAGTATCAAATCCAATATGTTAAAGTATAAGAAGTGTGAGGATACACTTACACTTGGTCTAAGAATAACTATTCCTATACCCCCTCAATACCTATTCTTTTTGTAAAATTTATGTTTTCTAATGGAGCACTTGGAACCAGAAAATATGTATAACAGAAGGGTATCTATGTTATTCTTCCTCCAAGTGTAAGTGGATAGTATAAAGTAACCACACGAAACACCATCAAACTCACCAAATCAATCACTTTAAAAGTAGCCTTCTCATAGCGAGCTTTTCCTTCCTCAGCAAGTGCCTAAAACATAACAACAGCATAAAGATCATTTCAAACATTCAAACAACAATGCATCCAACAATCTCAAATGAGCCCAAAGCAGTACAATCAATTTCAAAGATCAATAAATTCGCCAAGTAAATGACTCCAAATGAAGCCAAAACAACACAAAAATGAGTGAAACAACATTGTTTCCTTTTCCAATTTTTTCAAAAATGGGATAAAGAACAATCAATCCAACTACTTCAAACAAAGATCAATACACACTTTGGTCTTCATTGATCCATAGTGCTGGCAAGAAGAATTGGGTAAGAACTTAAAACTATATTCTAATAATCACAAATAATTATAACCCAAATAAGAATAGTGTAAAAACTCCATATACCTTAGCAAACCCTTCAGCTGTACCGGTCTGCGTTCCATAAAAAATAGTAACTTTCTTCTTCCCATCATCAACCTCGGGCTCTTCCTCAATTTTGGGAGCCACCATTTTAGGCTGCTCTATTTTTTTAGCAGATCTCTGTCTCCTCCAAAACAAAACGACGACGCATCCAATCAAGACAGCCACTGACGTCGTTAAGATCATCATCAGCTCCCTATTCTCCAGCAGCATCGCCACCGTCGGCGACAAAGTCTTGCCAGAATCTGACAACATGTTTGATTGATCAATCTTCCCGCCTCTCAAAATCGCAGTCACCAAATCGAAAGGAGACATTTTCATGTTGCTGGATTCCATTTTTCACTATGTGGATCACGTCACCGATGACCGAGTCAATTACGTCTAAACCTGTTTGGCAGGCGACCAAATAACTTTAAACAATTGAATTCAGAGAGACCCACACTTTCTCTCTCCGCTTTGATATCTGGGTCAGGCAACTCCTGTTTGGCCGGCGAGAAAATGACTATAAACAATTGTACTCAGAGAAGCAAAGAAAGACCCACTTTTTTTCTCTGCTGTGGTTATCTGGGTCAGGAAAACTCGTCGGAAACTGAGGAAATGCAATTCTAGTGAGAGGAACACAGAGAGAGTCTCTCTCTACCCTGCTGTTTTGTTTGGTGTAGGTGAGGTTTGGAGAGACTCTGAAAAGGAGGAGGAGAGCGAGAGGGAATTATAGGGACAACTAAACACGCCTACCAGACCAGACTACAACCTCACCTAACTCCTCTTAACCATGGTTAAGGAGACTTTGGTTTGATTTGACTCAAATAAATAAACAAATAAGTCCTGCTGTTTTTTTATATTTTAATCAAAAAATATTATTAGGATGTAATTTATTAATTTATTTTATTAACTTAATTTATTATGATTTTTAAATTGATTGTGGAGTCCATCAAATATTAAAATTTAGTATTGATCTAATAATTTTACTGAAATCATATTATTATACTAATAAATTAAATCAAATTTTTAATTTCAGATAGTATTACTCATTTTGGCTTACAACTTCTTGTTTGAAGCCAAATATCTGAAATGCGTCTTTTATTTGAGAAAGAATAATGGGGAAAAGTCCCACGTGTGCCTCGCGTGGGTGTGGCTTACTCTCCCTGAGGTCAGAGTGGAGTTAGGAACGAACTCTTGGGTGGACACTGCAATCACATATTTTAATTGTTTTTCTTGTAATAAATAAGAACTCTCGGCTGTTCATCAAAATAATTACTCAAAATATATTAAAATATTATTATTTTTTATTTTAAAGAGTTTCTTTTATAAAGTTATTTTAATCATATTTTTTATTTTAGTTAATTACTATTAATATTTTAAGTCAAAAATATTTCATAGCATGACACTTCATTAAAATATAAAATAACTAATTAAAGAGGTTTTCTAAATGTAGAGAGTCATTTAAGGACATCTCTAACAACAAAATCTATTTTAGTTATTCAAAAAATAATATTTTTTATTTTAGTTATTCATTTTTTTTAATACATATTCCAACAGATTTTTTAATTTTTTAACTATTCCTTTTAAATATTATTTCTCATTCTTTTTGTATTATATTTTTTTTGAAAATAATGAAAGGGAGAAAAAGAGGGAATGAAAGAAAAGAAAGGAAGGGAGATAAAATATTATAAACAAATTTTACATATTACTACAATGATACTCTATATTTAGAGTATTATTATAGTAAAAATTTATTTTAGAGTATCTGAACATATTCTGTTAGAGTATGATTTTTTACTTTAATTAGCTAAATTTTCATTATTTTTGTGCTTTACAGCATCTCTTAGAGATTTTCTAACATAAAGGTAAAATAGCTAGCCCTTTGAAGTAAAATTTTATGATTTATCTAATTTATTTTAGCTCACAAATGTCAATTAGCTAACCAATTTGAAATGCTCTAAAATACATCAACAATAGTAATAATTTTTAGAGAGATTTGAGGGTGGCCCACGACCACCAGGCCCCTCAAAGTAGATCCGCCCATGTCCCATGTAAGGTGTGTGGAGACATGTCAACATAAATAGAATTTATCTGGTTTAAATTTGAATATAGTTTAAAAAAATTAAGTCAATTTTAATATGATAATTTGATTTAGTTTATATGTGCTTGAAGGCAGGGTGAAATTTGAATAATTTTAAAATGGATGTTGATGGTCGTTGAATAAATCTATTTGAAACAGTCGGATGTACTTATTAAAACTTTCCTTATTTTATGTTTACTGATACTCGGGCCTAATAAAAATCAAAAATATAATATGATTCGAATAAATCAGTTGGAATTGAATTTTAACAAATTATATTTTAATTTTAACTCAATTTTTATCATCTATTTATGTGAGCATATAAAATTCAACCAAAAGTACAATCAAATATATCAAAATTTAAATAGATAAAATTTTATTTTTTAAATTCAATAAAATAATATTAAACTAATCAAACTAGTATTTGAATTGAATCGGAAAGAAAATTCAATTTTGACATCACTATATTTGATCCGTTTGGAACTAACTTAAGAGATAATTTTTAAGAGTTTTGAAATAAAGTAAGTCAGGTCTATTTGGATCTTGATATTTTTTACCAACTTATGCAATAACTTTTTGGACTTAAAAAGACTTATTTAAACTAATTCAAAAAAAAGATTTTATGAGTTTTTCTTTCGGCTTATAGTTTTATTGTGGGTTTCATACAACTTTTTAGTTTATTATATTCATAAAATATTATTAATGACGAAAAAAATTTAAAATTCATATTTTGGAAACTCTTATGCATAATTTATATGTATACGTAATAATTTTTTTATTTGGACACAAACAAGTTAAAAAAAAATAGAAAGTCATTCTAAATGAATTTTTTTTTTATTTTTTTAGCTTTTTAAATAATATTTCAACAGTTTTGGAAACTTTTTTAAATTCGATTTTTTTGTAATACTTTTTTTTTTGTCAAATTTTGTAAAACTTTTTAAATCGTAATTTATCACCGTAAAAAATCAGTTTGAAACATGCTCATTAAGTGAGTGATGATAGCCTTGGGCTTGGGCAGATTTCTGATAAGACGATAATTTATTTTAATTGTGTGATCAATCATATGCTGCCACCTGTTCCAAAAATCTTTGATTTCAGGGTACTTAGCCTTAAGATTTATGTGTGATGGTTAACTACATTTGATGCGACCTCTAATATCTATGACGCATTTATGAGACTCAAACAAGATTTATAGCCTCATAAGTTCAAGAATAGACATGAATTTAGAAGCAAACAATTATTGTAAGATGGACCCATAAAATGTGAATTATGATCAAGAAAATATTTCATAAAGGACTTTTAGCAATGATTTGTATACAAAATATTTGATAGTGACATTTTGCAAATATCAATACATTTAGGTTTTTTTTTTTTTTTTTGTATTTAAAAATATTAGTGGGTATCATCATCACTTCATATCAAAAAAAAATTGCATCAATTTTTATTTTTTATTTTGGTTTAGCATTCTTGTAGTCATAATAATATACTTTTTATTAACAAATTAGAGTTTAATGTAGAGTCCATTTATATATTCTTATAATTACATCCATACCCCCAGCTCACATTCAATGAATAATAATTTAGGTTAAAAAAAAAAGCCCTATTATAAAGGATATCAAACTATGCATAAATAGTTGACGTAATTATCTAACTAAACCATTATCAGATTTAATATTGATCGTGATAATTAGATCTATCAATTTTCCACACAAATAACTAAGGATTAAAATTTTATTTTGGTGTATTGCTTTGATCATTAGGAAACGTTTCAATTTGTTTAGAAACGTTTCAGCCCGTTTTAAAAAATATAATGAAAAAAATGAAGAATAATTTTTTCAAAACATTAGTCGAAATATATCAAAGTTTATTCAAATACCTTGAAACATTCCGAAACAATTGTTCAAATACATTAAAAATTACAAAAACACTTCAAAACATTATGAAACATTTTGAAATATTAGAATTTCGATTCTACCATTAATTCGTTTCAGCCTCCTTGAAAATAAAAATATTTTAAACTTTTCGATCATTTTGAAACAAAATTTTGATCATGGCAAATGACAAATACAATCCACCTTTAGCAAAAGTGATAAACTCGTCAAATAAATGTGTCAAAATAACTCAAGATCGATGATATGGACCTCGCTAAATATAGCTTTATGCATAAAAAGCATCTATAAGGGATTAACTATTTTATATTTGTTAGCTAAAATAAAGAGTCAAATCACAAAATTTAACTCTAAGGGGTTAGCTATTTTACCTTTGGAAATCCAAATGGCTTTTTTTGCACTGCAAGTAGCCAACTATTTTACATTTTGGTGACGTGCCAAATTATGCAGTATTTTTGTCTTAAAATATTAATAGTAAATAGTTAAAATAGATAGCATGATTAGATTAACTTTGTAAAAGTAATTCTTTAAAATAAAGAATATAATATTTTAATATATTTTGATTAACTATTTTGAAGAGCAACCTTGGTAATGCTCAAAATACACCAATTATAAATATCTTAGAGATAAATTGAACAAATTTAGATACAACAGAATCTGTCCACTTATTTGTGCTTCTAAAACCTTTGTTGCTTTTACTTATACTAGCAGTGCACGCGCGAATATATTTAAATAATTTTTTAATAATAAAATTAAATTAAATATGTAATTAAATTGAATAAATAAATTATTTATAAATATAATTAATTTTTATTTTAATTATTGTTAAATCTTATTGTTGATTTATTTTACCCCTCTTTGAATATTTAATCCATCATTTGTTTAGGTATCTCTCCGACCCATTAGACATGTTCTCTTTTGTTTATTATAAAGCTTAATTATAAAATTGTCATTATTGAGTACATTCATATCTAATTATATTATAGATTTATTACATTTTTTGTCAAAAAATTGATTAAATTTTAATACTCTTATTTGTAGTATAATAATATGATATTTTTGCGTACCAAAAAATCAAATATGATATATATTTGATCATAAAATAATCCAACAACTACATGTATATAGTAATAGAATATAGATTGACCTTTATTTCTTTGTATAAATATAAACATAGATATAGAAAATCATATACAAATGGACAACTAATAAATGAGTCAAAAAAAGAGTTAAATATTATTAATAAAAGAATTCAAAAGAACTTAGAAGTCAAATAAATGTAAAAAAATAAAAATTGAATGAAAGTACTAAAGAATTTAAAACTGTTAATAAAAGAGTTCAAATGAACTTAGGATTCAAATAAAAGTATAGGAAATAAAAAAATAAATAACAGTAATATGTGGGTATCACTGACTTTATAATAATAATTATAAAAAAATAAAACATTAAACTTTTTTTACAAATGCTGATATTTATAAGTAATATAAATAGATAGATAGATAGATAGATAGATAAATTAGTCAATTAGCGACCAAATAACAAAAAATAAATCCATTGACACATCATATGTATCCTAATTTGTATCCCTCTTCCAATCTATATACATAGCCCTTCATAAATTGGGTTTGATATACCCACATTTATATTTTTGAGATATAAAATTACTAACTCAGCTTTTTTATTTGAGTATTGCTAATGGGAAGAGTATGTTATCAAAGAAGGTATCTACATAAAAGTAAAACTTTTACACATTAGATTACA